AGATAGAGGCTTGGTTGAACATTTACTGGAACCATCTATGTATCTTTGTTTGTAAGGATTTTTATGAAGTTTCGGAATCCAATATAAATATGGTAATTCAAATTCATTTTGGTTGTTTGGAATATTAAAAATATTCAAAACTGACATATGATTTTGAAGAATTTCTTCCTTAGAAAGGGAAATATGAGTATAAGTTGGATTACCACTTGTAGAATCAAATCCAAGTTCCTCTAAAATACATTTAATATAATGAGCCTTACAAACAAAGACAATGTTGTTACCTGCTTTGTCAGCAGGGACCAGTACGTACTGATCATGTAATCTATCTAATTCTTTTTTCACTTCTGGATTATTGAATACAGAAGGATAGATGGTTTTCATATTGCCTCTCAATCTTTTAATGCGCGATCTTAACATACATCTGATACATTTAATCCATTCTGACAAAGTGTCAAGGTCTTCTTTTTCATGTCTTGTCCATTGCCTGGCGTAGTCCTCTACAGAATCCATAATATTTATGAAATTCTTACGCCAGTTGAAGGATCTGGGTTCCCTAAATTTAGGACCTTTTAAAATTAGTGATCTAAGGTCCTCATTATTAACTATATTTACTATATATATAAATCCCCAAGATACTGATGTACATGTAACACTAACTGACATTATGCACCGTTGTTTAAATTTTTTGCTGTTACAGAAAGTTGCACGGGATACCCGATTTCGCGGATTCAATGATACCCTGATATCGGGGACTATACGCGATTTCACGGATAATACCCGATTTCGAGTATACTCTCCATCCTGATTAAGGCTACATTACAATTACATGTATATATATCTAGATCAACATACAATATCATTAGGCCTTGCTATTATTATTTATTGTACCCATAAGTTAGTTTAGCAATTAGAATTCTTATATCATGGTGAACAATTTACATGTGTCTAGATAAAAGAAATGTTTTTCAATACAGCTTAGAAACTTTCTTAGATATCTGTTAGAAACACAAGCGTATCTTGCACGTATTTCAGGTTTTTTTTAAGGACAGCAACTTTATCTGTATTCAGATCGTCATGTACGTTTAAATTTTTTAAGCAACTTCTGTATATATGTCCATGTTTAAAAAGTAATGAATAGAAAAAAAATCAAGCCTCGCTGTCAGATTATATTGAGGACGCTGGGTTTAACTTTTTTAAAAATCTTAACGGGAATTAATTTTGCTCACGTCAGATAAGCTTTTTAGCACTGAAAGTTGATACTTGTTAATAAGTATAGATCGTGCTCTTGTAAGTCACGACAATGGTGGCAAGCAAACTGTCTATAAAGAACGGGAAAAAAAGATAAAATCAATGAAGGAAGAAAACAATTAATGCTTTGTTGTTTTTTTAAAGATAATGTAATGTAGATCTGATAAAACGAAAAAAAAAAGAAAAAAAATCTTAATCCTGTTAAGGCATTGGTTGCAAAATGACGTACATAGGCCATACACAAAATTACAACATATGTTTGGGGGGGGGGGGGGAATTACAAAGCATTTTTATGGCTAATTACAGTTTCTTACGGTTGACTAAATCTTGGCAACCAACCAATTTTATTTGATACACGTACATGTATAATCTGTTGATTGATCTGATGGTCGTCTGTGTCCGTTTTATACTTGTTGGACAGTACTTTCTCCCGATTTTCATCAAGGAAGTTTATTACAATTTAAGTTTGGGGTAAACGATGATAAATTACATATACATTGTACATATTTTTGATTTCATGAGAAGGACATGTGTACAAAATAACCCCCTCCCCTTTTTTCGCAACATGTTAAAATTTTCCTTGGATGAAACACACGTATTATCCTTACTTATACCATTTGGAAGGAAAAATTTCGCTTTGTAGCAGATCAAAATTTAAATGTATAAGTTTTATTTCTCCAACGGACATGCAGTGTATTATAGTTTTTGAAAGGGGAATACGGGTGGAAAGAATAATTGATAAGCAAAAGAAAAGAACATTCAAAAAAGCCTGAAAATGTTTGAACAAAATTTTTAAAAAAAAAATAAATTAAAACTGCCCTATTTCTTGGCAGGAGAATATAATCTTTCTAATTAGTACATCGACGATAGATGTGAGTGAAAATTCAAATGAATATACATTGTACTCTAAATATTTCAGCAATGTGTAGGCAAAATTTTATCCACTAGTGAAACAACTATCATTGAATGGGTGTGGGCTAAGTGATATGTTGCATGTCACGTGTTTTTTCATATTATGTTGTCTGGTATGGTATTTTCTGGTGATATAATATGGCATGGCGTAGTGTTTATGAAGATATACAATATAATTCCTTTATAGAGTATGGTTGGTGCTTTTTGGCGGTGATTTTCTATCAATAGTATTTGCATAATAGTGCTTTACATGTATGATTACTGTTTATAAATCTACCATTAAAGCAATATGAGCTGCAACTTTGATGTCGGGGAATTTTTGTTGCAAATTTGTAATTAACTACTAGTATTTCAATGACAGAAGAAAGAACGTTTATACACTTCTGTTGTTTATATTTGCGATGGAAGAACTATTTATAAACTTTAATTAAAGCAAAATTACATTACTGTCGTCTTGTACAACATTGATTTCTTAAATAATACTACACATTCCCCTGTACAGAAATCTTTCTTCTGGAAAAAAATTAATACTTTTTTTCAGTCTAATTGATCCTAAATGTTTAAATAACATACAGATTTATCATAACAGCACGTTTTAAAAGCAAAATAAAATGCTCAGAAATGCAGCTCATATTGCTTTAAATAATGGATGTGGTAAGTTGATATCTGATGATATATTTTTTTCATTAATGGTTGAATAGTGTATTGCTTTTTGATCATTCATTTTTGTCATTGGTGGTTGTAAGGTGAGGTGTTTTCTGGTGATATTATTCTGTCATCAATGGTTTATATATATATATATATATATATATATATATATATATATATATATATATATATATATATATATATATATATATATATATATATATATATATATATATATATATATATATATATATATATGCATCGTTTTATATATATCATTTGTCAATTTTAAAGAAAATATAATAAATAAAAATAAAAAGATATAACCGTCATTTTTACATAACTGATCGGAATCAAATGACATAGGACTGACATTTAGAACAATTGTAATAACAAACTAAAACCATTGTTTAAGTAATATTTTGTCTACATTTTAATATACTTCTCAATGTCACTGATTTATAATCATTGACCAACGATTTCATCACATGATAAAAAAGACAAGGAAAAGGGCAGGGTATGCGTATACAACGATAAGGTAAGAATGTGATTTGTCTTGCTTGAAATTAACATGTTATATTTTTATTTAATATTGACACTCAAATTACCTTCTACAAAACAAACCAAAATACATGTCCTGGTTTACTCATTACTTGTGCAGACTCTATTACTAAGGAATTGCCTAGTTTACTCGTTAGTTTACTCGTTACGTTGGTAGACTCTATTACTATAAGGAATTGCCTAGTTTACTCGTTACGTTGGTAGACTCTATTACTATAAGGAATTGCCTAGTTTACTTGTTACGTTGGCCTTACTAAGTAATTGCCTAGTTTACTCGTTAGTTTACTCGTTACGTTGGTAGACTCTATTACTATAAGTAATTGCCTAGTTAACTCGTTAGTTTACTCGTTACGTTGGTAGACTCTATTACTATAAGGAATTGCCTAGTTTACTCGTTACGTTGGTAGACTCTATAACTATAAGGAATTGCCTAGTTTACTTGTTACGTTGGCCTTACTAAGTAATTGCCTAGTTTACTCGTTAGTTTACTCGTTACGTTGGTAGACTCTATTACTATAAGTAATTGCCTAGTTAACTCGTTAGTTTACTCGTTACCTTGGTAGACTCTATTACTAAGGAATTGCCTGGTTTACTCGTTACGTTTGCAGATTCTAATACCTAAGAATTGCCTAGTTTACTCATTACGTTGGAAGACTCTTAGTCTAATACCTATAAGATTTTAATTCTTCATAAAGCAGCAGATTATTACTGAGAAAATAGGATGATAAAAAATTGCATTACATGTAAATGAATCGGTATTAAATGAAATTCAATACCTTTGATGTTCTTGATCCAAGTTTGTGGATAAGTCCGGATTCCCCCTGGTATTGATTTTCAGTTTTTAAATTTATATATTAAGGTAATCGACCCCTCCTCCCCCATTAGAAAATACGGACCCCTGGTAAAATATCATTTATATATGTGTGTGTGAAGGAAAGGGACTTGTTCTAACACCACTCCTTTTGAAATAGTTTTTTTTTTAATTATTTTATTTCGTTTTCATTTCTTTTTCTGTCGATGTTGTCGCCTTGGATTTCAAAATACACAAACTTTACACCAGATTTTTGTTGTTGTTTTTTTCATACGTCAGAATTCATGTTATGTTGTTCTATCATAAACTGGCTGCAGTTCTCTGCAGCTCAATATTTAGATGGTTGTTCAACGCTATTTTTTTTAATCAGACCATTGAGCTACAAACCTGCAGCGTAAATGAAAGTGACATTCTAGATGATCGAAGTGGATAATTTTTATGAAATAAATACGCTTTTTTGAACAAAATGAGACTTTTTAATTCTATTCACGAATTTAATCATTTCTGGAATCTTTGTTCAACACACGCTCGTGCATTGTTTTGGTCTTTGTACATGTTGTAAAGGTAGAATTGTCGAGGTCGCTTAACTGCATTGTAATTGATTTCTTAATTATTATTTTCTATTTTCTGTGTGATCCGGCTTTAGATTATTTAATAATCCACATCACTAACTCTGGAAGGAACGTCATCTGTTTCCCCCCTATTGAAATAAATACAAAGTTATGAACCATATATCACCTGAAATCACGTTTGAAAACAGACATTATACAAACCGTTTTACAAAATTCTCAGATTTCTCTTCCTCGAGTTCAGTATTATTTTCATGTTTTAAAAGCAAATTTGCTACAGTTTTAACAGAGAAATGTTTTATTCAACAAACAAATACGGATTTTATGAAACATTGTAATGCACATCAATGAAGGCAAAATCGGGAGGAAAATAAACTCCGCGTGGGGAAAATCCAGCCCCTTATCATGTTCCCATAATCAGCAAAAGAATTCGGATTTCTCTTCAGGAGTGTGGTATCTGCATCATGCATAGAAATTTAGTCTGTTCATTTGAAAGAATCGCAGAGGGCTCAAAAGTAGACTGTCTTTTTTGGAATTTATTGTATAACCAATATGTCTTATTAATAAGTGTATGTGTAAAAAATAAATTAGTATGGAAATACGAAAAGGTGAGTACAGTATAGAGATGGCAGGTTGACGAAGTCTGAATGAAATGTGATAATTGAAAGGATGGTGTCAAACATATTAATTCAGTTACTAGAATCTAAGTGACATTTTGAGACGCTCTGCTAAGATATATACGATGTGTTAGAACAGATAATGGCGGCGGAAAAGGCAAAGAAATTCCAGCAGGAGGGCAACCAGAGGGAAGTAGGTGCGTTCGCCAAGAATTATGGGGCTCACAGAGAGGGAATCACGATGAAAGAAGTGGCCAATTACTACACAGAGTGGGCGAATTCTAATAAATATGACGTGGTAATTAGTGGTTAATAGTCTGCCATTAGAAACTTTTTTCCCCAGGATTTTTGTTATAAGAAAAATACTGTTCATAAATTGTAATGCAACACTAGTATATAAAAAAAATCTTAGATGTTTGCGGAGTGTTAATAAAAACTTTAAGGAAGGACCTCTGACCCCATAATTAAATCATATTCAGAAAAATGTTGCCTTTAGACTTTTGTCAGAAAAAAATAGTTCCCACATAAAATTTTGAGTATTTCATTTTACTACTGTAAAATTAAATTTGAAGAATAACTCATATCTCAGACCGTAATTTACATTATATTAAAACCAGAATGACCTGTATGCCTTTTATTGTGTATAGGACCTGGGACCAGACCGATATCGTGGACCAAAGCTTGCTGCTGAGACTCTTTGTGACCTGATTTCGGAACATCGTGAAAGTGTTCGAATTTTAGACATTGCTTCTGGAACTGGATTTCTTGGACAAGAGGTTACACTTTGATTTTCTTTTTTCAACCATAATTAACTTGACTAATTCTTCCTACAGTAAGCATGGTCTTAAATTAAATTTAACAACTTTGAATTGGGAAGGTGCTGAACTTTTTTTTGGTAACATATTCGAGATTTCATTGCAAGACATCTCATTATATAAGATTTATCTTTGTAAGAAAAGATGTTTAAGTATATGCATAAAGAGTACTAGTATTGTTCTTTAATTAGTACAGTGCGTCCTTGCTTTGTAGCTCTGGGACAGGGGGTTTCGCTCAATCGACGGCTTAGACCCTTCAGAGGGAATGATTGAGGCGTCCAGGAAAAGAAATGTATATTCCAATCTCATCTGTGATTTCATGACTGAGAAAATGCTGAATATTCAAACAGGTACATGTGTTCATATCATATCATGAAAAGTATATGTGAATATTTACGATTATTTTGAATATTCTTAAATTTGGTGGAAAAAATTAATTAGTATCTATCTTAAGGAAGCTCTAAACCACAGGCACTTGTTTCGTATACGGGGCACCCCCTACTTATTTTTACCAGGTTGTCCCGTATACGAAACAAGTGCCTGAGCTCTAAACACTAAAATGAAAAAAAGGTTTTTTGGACTTTGAAAAAATTAAATTATATAAAGGTGTATACAAATTGAATTTATCTAGTTTATTTTCAACATAGGGTGCCGCACCTGCCATATTTCTCCTGGAAAAATGTTCAAAGACAATGAAGTATACATAGTTTTCATATGACAGATTTTTTCTCCGAGTTATTTCCCTTGGCCGCCATCTTGGTGGTCAACCTGATAATTTTTCCTCTTTGTCTTACCAAATCTAAGAGGGTGTAGCAGAAATATTTGGGGAAAAATCTTTATAGAATAAAAATTATGAAATAAAGGAGGCTTTAACAAATGTATATTTTTCAGAAAAACAATGCTTCTTACCCCTCAATGGCCAGTATAAAAAGTCAAAGTTGGTTGAATAATGAAGGAATATGAGCATGTTGACCTCCAATATGGCGACCAATGGAAAATAACTCTTGCTAATTTGGGCCTACTGACAACTATCTATTATAGCGAACAGAAATCACCGTTGTTTATTTACATTACGAAATTACCTGCAAATAACGTTTTCAGTTACTTTATCTAATATAATGCTAAGAATATTTTAATCTATTTCCAAATGCTTTATTTACTGAAAATTTCCCAGTTGTTCTATTTTACATCAAAGGGCAGAACACTCTAAGTACATAAATGTATCATGGAATTAGAACTCTTCAGTGAGCAGTGTTTAGAGCTTCCTTAAAATAACTTTTTTTTAAATTCTAGATACTTATGATGCCGCTGCGATTGCTGGTGGTATGGGAGAGGGTCACATTCCATGCAATGCTCTGTATGAGATGATTCGTATAGTAAAACCTGGTAAGTTGTTCTTTCTGATTTACAGCAAAGTCCGATTGGTGAGTTGCTGGTTAATAATAAAATCTTTTGAGTCACTATTACTGGTTTAAATTAAAACCTGATGAGTTTTTCTTTATGGTTTTTCAGTGGTGAAATCTGGTTTATAGTGTAAAGTTTTTTGTGACAATTATTTTAATCAGAAAATAAACATGGGATATGAAAGTGTAAGAATTTTCCGTAAGAATAAACAAACCTGGTAATCGGATTAAGGACAATGTAAACTACCAGGAAGTTTATCTATCTTGGGAAACAGCAGAGACATATAATATATTTTTGGAAACAGTAAAGGAACATTGCTAAAAATATTAAAGTTTATGTTTCAATTACAATTTATTTTATAAAATTCAAGGATTTTGTACATATTTATTGAATAACTTGTTTACTTGAATCTGATTTGTCTATTTCATATGTAAATGAGCATTATTTATTGTACATTATAAAATACGATCTACGGCGCTCTTCCAAAAAATGCCCCTATAGGATTAACTGTACGACTCACAACTCTCAGTTAAATAAACTCTTTGAAAACGACTATTTGTCTCATTGGCTTACAACAGTAAACTTTGTGAGTTGCTGTTTCTGAATTATAGTAAAACCTTGTGAAATGCTTTTTTTTTTTGTTTGTTTGTTTGTTTTTTTGTTTTTGTTTTTGTGGGGGGTTTTTTTGTTTGTTTGTTTGTTTGGTTTTTTTGTTTTTTGTTTTTTTTGTTTTTTGTTTTTTTTTTTTTTTTTTTTTTTTTTTTTGCTGGTTTAGAATCTGTTGAGTGTGCTCTTTCTTATTACATGTAATAACCAAATCAAAGAGCTCTATTGCAAAGTTTTTTAATAATTTTTTTTTTTCGGTTTAAATTGTAAAAATAGTGCTGTTTGTTTGTTGCTGTTTTTCCCGACACGTGATTTTGAGATTGAAAATGTTTGTGGCAATTCCAAGAGATGACATCGTCGTTTGATTTATGATATTTCCAAGTGGTTACATATTGTGACTGTCATCTTTGTTTTTATTTCCAGGTGGTTCCATTGTGATTGTCATCTTTGTTTTTTTACTTTCAGGCGGTTACATTGTCATTGTAATGAGAGAAGAATATCTAGAACATGTCCAGGATTATAAAGACAGACTAGAACCATTAATGAAAGAATTGGAGACTTCAGGCAAATGGAGGAAACTAGCGAGAAAAGTTGTATCAAATTACTTTCTCCAAAATAATGGTGTCATCTTTATATTTCAAAATTGCTAAACCTTATAGACTGTAAATTTCTTAAGTATGGAGGTATATTACTTGGTCCCGTTTTACATAAGAATTTATGACTAAAATCAAACTGTTATTTTTGGATATTACTTTCTTTTATTCGTGAATTTAAAAAGAATGAAGAACGATATATGTATGCATATAATTTTTAATAAAATCATTTATTTTATAGGATTTTACTATCAGGTAAATTTGTTGGTCTTATAGTCACAAGTTCTTTTGTAAAATGTACTACTTATTTTTCGTTTGAGTTTAAAAAAAACTGAGTTAACAGTAACAATATATTTGTTATTGTATAAAATGTATCTGGGGTATATATTTTACAGGTTTATATCAATAAAAATATGGTTGAATACGAGTATTTGTCATATCCACATTATGTTGTGCTGTAATGTAATAAACTGATCTCGATTTCAGTTGCCATGACAACAATAGCATATTTTCTTTGTACCTTATAAACCGCAGAAGTAGTCTTTGAGTATTTAATTGACACATCTCCATACCAACAATAAAGTACAGCGATACTTGTAATAAGCATGTACGTATGATCTGTTTGGGGGTTATTATATTTTCAGTATATTGATAACAATACCCGGCGATATTGAGAGGTCACTTAGAGGTCTATTGTGACGAACAGTAATTAATATTCTGTTTTGCACATGATAGCCATCAATTCCTTTGTGTGTGTGTGTCATTTACAGACAGGTAGACTGCCATATCGGCTAAGAGTTGTTTTATATATACTATTCTATATACTATAATGTTTATAATATTATATGAACATTACAGGCAGTAACTTTGTTTATAGTCTAATCTGCTCTCTAAATTTTCTACATGAAAATCAATACATTCAACCGGTCAACATTGAATTTCTTGCATGTAGATCCTTATTAACTTTATTAATAAAAAGATATCACGCAAGCAAAATCTTAGATACTACGTAAACGATTTTTCTTATAGACTAGCCTGTCTCGTGAACAAAGAATTAAAACAACGGCTGTACAAATTGCTAGGGTACGTTCAATAGAAGATAATTATGGTGACTTTTACCAACATCTGTCAGCTATATATTACGTAATTCGTGAAGTGATTTCAAACGAACGAAACTACCGAACATCAAATAGCAATAATTATAGTAAGAAACCAGGATATATGATAGGAATTCTGTCAGAAAATTGATAGTTAGATATTTTTAAAACTTTTTAAATTTCGAAGCGATCATCTGTTACATAATCCCAACTTATAATAGATTAAATAGCTATACTTAAGCGCATTCTGACCCCCAAAGACCTTAGAATCGGAAATCGTCATCTAATGAATGATGAAGGTGACGGAATCAGCGAGGTTTGCCGAATGCTTAGATTCGGAAATCGTCATCTGGCTGATCATGCCCACATACCATCTTTCCTCTTTGGAAATATTTTCTAGTATCTTATCTCTGATGAAATATCTTCTTATCACATATGAGAATATGTAGTATAGCAGAATGTATACGTTATATATGATTTTTTTTTTGGAATTTGTCACAAGCCCTGATTGTAATGGGGTTTTTGTTTGGTTTATGGTATTTCTTTAATTTGTCACATTCACCCACCCACCCTCACACCCACACCCTCTCTCTCCCACACACCCACACACCCACACTCTCTCAATCTCTCTCTCTCTCTCTCTCTCTCTCTCTCTCTCTCTCTCTCTCTCTCTCTCTCTCTCTCTCTCTCTCTCTCTCTCTCTCTCTCACACACACACACACACACACACACACACCCTCTCCCACTCACACACAAACACCCACACACACACACTCTCTCTCTCTCCCTCTCACACACACACTCACCCTCCCACTCACACCCTTACACACACACACACTCTCTCTCTCTCTCTCCCTCTCACACACACACTCACCCTCCCACTCACACACAAACACCCACACACACACACCCTCTCTCTCTCACACACACACTCACCCTCCCACCCACACACAAACACCCACACACACACACACTCTCTCTCTCTCCCTCTCACACACACACTCACCCTCCCACTCACACACAAACACCCACACACACACTCTCTCTATCTCTCCCTCTCACACACACACTCACCCTCCCACTCACACACATACACACACACACACACACCCTCACATACACACACACTTTAATAGCAGTACCTGTTCAAGAGCTACATCTTGATATGATTTTCAAGAAATTTTATCTATTTATTTATGTCATGTTGCAGATTTTATTTATAAAATGAAATATGTCAGAAACGACAACTTTTTTCATTGATTTTGTCGTTGCAGGTGTCACCTTGAGTCAAGGTCGTTATGTAGGTTCCAAGTACCTTTTACTAAAAAATAAATTGTAAGAAATTCATATAATGAGTACACAACAATTCTCATAATATGATTTTTTTATAAATCACTTCCGGTCTGGTAGATGGTCTAAACCCCCCCCCCCCCAACGAAAGCTGACTTTAGAGTAGGATTACCCCCCCCCCCCCGGAAAAATAACTCTAGATTAGGATTCCCCCCACAAAAACGGCTCCAGAGTAGAATTCCCCCATGGAAATCGCATTCTAGAGTCAACTTTCCGGTTTGAGGGGGTGTCATCCTTCCCTCCCATTAGAGCTATAGTTTTCATCCTCCCCTTTAAGTAATGCCCTGCATATCATTGTAAATTTCACTTCTGCCTACATTGAAAATCAGAATAATTTAATAAGAAAGATATTTACCTGGCGTAATTATTATGACCAACATTTGATTTACTTTAACAATAAATTAAGGTAATTTTAAAATTAGACTTAAGTCTTTAAAGTACACATTTTTAATCTCAATATTTAGTTATTGGATTTGGTGCTTTATGTTATATACACATTTAGATAATATATAAATGCAATGCACATCTTACAGCTCATTCAAGCGTTGATAGCTGTAATTTTTTTGCCCTTATCAGTCCCTGATCAAATAAAAGGGGGGGGGGAGGGTAGGTTGCAATTCCCCTATAGATTCTAGAACGCGAAAAATTCTCCTAAAAATTATACATCATGTATCCACATCCTATAAAAATATATTAAATTAATTGCTAGAACTTATATGAAATTATAAGGGGGATCCCACTCTGGTTGATAAAAAAGGGGGGATGACTCTAGAGTAGGATCCCACACCCACCCCACCCCGTGGAGAGTATGCTCTAGAGTAGGATCTCTCCCCCTTGGGGAAATCCTACTCTGGAGTAGAATTCTACCATGTGGAAATCCCACTCTAATACACCGGTATTTAGTCAACCATATAAATATATCTGGGTCAGCTTTGTGACATTCTGGCTCAATCCCACTGGGGTATATATATAATTGCTAAAGCAAAGGATAATGTGAGCTTCGGCCATATAGAGTGCTTATTGAAAATAGAGTTATGCTTCTTTACTTGTGGACAGATGGTATTTAGATCCGCTCACATATTGAAAGGATCTGATTTACATCAGATTGGAGATCAATCAAAGATAATCATGACTATGGTTACAGTCCTTGTTGTTTTAAGAAGCCTTTTCACATATCTACTCATTATCAATGAACTCGGAGTAAAGTTGAACGTATATATATCATTTTCTTTCTACAAAACACCACATGGTCCCGATAGTACAAACTGGTTTTCCTGAAGTCACTAGCAATGTTCGTCCAGATCTCATCGCATCTCCGCCCCTTATTAATTGCGAATTTTTTTTTTTTTTTTTTTTTTTTTTTTTTTTTTTTTTGGTGTTGTTTAGTAATGAGTTTAAATTTAAATTACTGCCCTGGTATTTAAAGTATTATTAAAGAAAAAATTGTTTATTTTGAAATCCATATAGAAAGTGATTATGAATTTCAAATAAAACATTTGCAATTTGTTATTCTTAATCGAAAATTAATATATATCAGAAAATAATATAAATCAAGATAACTTCTTTTCACCTTTGAGATTTGAATTACAATCATATTTTATTTATTGAGAAAAGGGGAAAAAGTAAGTATTTCATGTAAAGATATGGAAAGATCATTGTCCACTGAAGCCAACAACTTATTAATTTTGATAAGATTTTTTCTGCTGAGTAGGGTGTAATTGTTTTACCTATCAATATTTTGGGGTTTACCGATAACATCATAAATATTGACTTTGACACGTAAAATACAGACGCCAAGCAGAGCATGCGAGTGACAATTCTCGAAAATTAAACACGCTTAATCGTTTTTAAAAGCTCTCCACTTTTTAATGATCAAGAGTTCTTGAACGTCGAGCGTTGTACATTCCACATTTCTACTGAGAAAACACCGGGTGATCGGCATGTCTGAATGCAACTGTTTAGAATTAAAATTTTCGTCATTCATCCCTTTTGAGCCTCTATTGAACTTTTCCACATTCAAACTGGAGAGAAATTTGTTTCACTTCCCCTCACACACACACGATGTGTTAATGCTTTTTGTCGTCAAATGTCAATAAGAAAGGAATAAAAACGCCAATTCGGTGATCTTAATCAGGAAGGATTTCTGAAACGAAATTTGGAACCGCCGCGCAACATTCTCAATAAAACCATTGACAAAAAGGGTTAACGGCATTCTTTGTATGGAGTGACTGCATTTTGGATTGAAAACCGATATTAAACCCATTGGAAATTCCTTAAATGGCTTCTGAACACATGTTACTCGCACTATCCTATCCAAAACAAGGATTTTGTAAGTAATGACATTTCACTTTTTTGTTTCCTTTTGTTTTCCGACTACATTTTGTACTGTTTCTGTCCCTTAAGGAAGATTATTACATATGTAAAATTTCGAGAAAATAAAGTGTATAATATGATTAACATCTCTTCTCCTTTTGATCATAGTTCTGTGTATCAATTTGTTTCCAGCCCAAGGAAGCAGAAAATTTTAACTACTTCCATCTAAATTCTTAAACAGCACATTGAATCAAATATTTAATATCCATGTACCATATATTGACAAAAATTGATTCCATTTTTGCTGTGAGATTCCCTCCGTATGAATAATACATGAGATTTTAATTGTATTGACCATACCAATTCAGGGATTGAAAATGTATTGACAAAGACATGAAACACTTTGGGCTTTTCTTCCGTTATATAACAGTATTTTCCATTAAGCACCCCTTTTTGATATGAGTATCTACTTCATTAAAGACTGTATTAAAAGGAAATGATCGATGTGTTTGGATACATTAACTTTCTGAAAAGTTTTCTCCGGTGGTAAATATTTCATACAGAGAATTCTAAAGCTGGCATGCAGTTTGGTTGTATCCAGTTTGTCAATTTTTCAATACATCATTGATGTCAAAATTTCTCTAATCTTAAATCCTTTTTTTTCTGATATGCTTTTGGGTTGGCAAAACAAGCGTATATACAGTAAAGTAACTGCTTTTATTTAACAGGAAGCCATTCCAACGGCGTCTAAAGGTACGCTATGGTTCAGCGAAAAATAACTCAATTTCCTGTCGGTTCACATTAGACACTGTGGATAATCAGCTCGAAGAACAAAGAATGGTAAAAGACTAACTGTCAAACAGAAGGCCTTGTCCGTAGAAGTTTAGCGCTACAAAGGGAAGGAATATCGTGAAAG